TTTGGGGGTGTGTCAAGAGGCGTCACTAGGTCACCGTGCAAGGTGGTCACATTTTTACTTGGAAGCTCGCTTATCGCTCCAGCTAGTTTTTCACATGTTTCTGTTTTCATCTTTCTTCACCACTATGGTACGCAATACGCAAGTAGTACGCGAAATTATGGTAGGCGAAAAAATAAGAATAGGGAAGGGACCCATGGTTCAACAAACATCGCTTCATCGATCGCTGACTGAAATACCGGAGAACTGGGTTCGTAAGAGTGTCACTATATTAGAAGATCATCATCTGCGGTGACCTAGTTAATACGCAACGTCCTCGATGGCGTCTCCTTACCTCGATCTTCGGGTTTGAGTGCTAGGTGTACGCGATAGTGATGACATATTTAATTTTTGACGTGCTCACCATATCAGCTACCCCACTTGCAGATGGAGAAGTCAGAAGAGAGCTAATATCTGTTGGATGAACAGCGCCCACGATACCGGCATCACGATCACCGGCACAATGCCTAGTGGCACGAGGTAGACGCTCACCGCTACTTGCTTGCACCTAACCTATCGATGTTACTAATACTTGTTGTCAAACAAACGGTAAAAACTAACCTCTAACAATGACTGTATGCAAATAGGGTTACAATGAAGTAAAACTATATTTTAGTAGGCATTATGTCGTCAATGCTGATACGGATAAGACGTTTGAATCATCAAAATCGCCAGCTTTGAAGCGAACAGCAGGCGCTCATTTGGTTCCGGTGACCGTAACCAGGCAGGACGGTGCTCCCACTGTATATTTCTGAAGCAGAAACATTCATTTATTCATTTTTACTATTCGGTTACGATTCTTTGTAACAGTGAAACTTCAGCGATATCCGGTAATTTTCACGACTTACTACTACTTTTTCTTCTCCTGAGGAAACCAGAAAAAGTATGATCCATGCTCACCCATGAATAATGCGGTTTTATGACCTTTGCTCCTGAACGGAAATTGAAAGCCATTTCATATTGCAGGTGGGATTTAATAGGCTTTATTATGGTGTTCATTTCCCCATGGCGAACAGTTTCATAGAAAACCGTCCAAATAAGAACATACTCCCTTTACTGCCAAACTATTTCAAGAACTGGGATAAAAAGAAGCCTTGCAACGTCATTCTGAGCGACATTGGAAGGTGCTACCCATTTTTTCCTACGCGGACCCATCTGGCTACCCACTGTGTGCCGTAGGCTTTCCTATCTGGATTCCCATTTTCGTCGTGAAACCGGTCACTGCCGCTTTCTGACCCTCTGAATTCCGACCCACCTTTCTTCGTCGAATTCAGCACTCATACAGTGCACTCCGAGGCCGAGGTGGCTGTAGATCCCGTTCATTTTAGATGTATTTTGTGAAGCGTTCAGAAAAGTTTTTTCCTGATAAAACAGATAGGTCAGTAGTTATCGAGAGCATGGACCATCTGCAGCCTAGAGAACCGTCTTAGATCATTTCCTTAGTCCCCTCCTGCCCCTTCAACGTTGCCCTGCTGAAACCGGGCACCTATCCAGCCCATTTCTTCCATCGATTACCAATTCATGCAAATGGAAAAATCGCATTATTTATGGGTAAATATTATACACATTTCCGCATGACATATGTATATCAAAAATAATGCCAATCACTCTTGATGCTCATTTAATTTACCACCTCTTTGTTCATTTAATGTGCAGTGGCAGAACAACGAAGGTTCACAGATGAGAACCGTCGCAGTGAGACTACGAAGGCGTGAACGGGGACGCGTCGCGGTCGCGACAGCGTCAGGCGGCTGGTGCATCGCGACCGTTGCACGAAACTAATGCTCCCAAGTATACTATTTTGTTAGGAATTAAGCTTTTGAAGTATCACTGCGACATAATCTCACCTAAATTAATTGTGTTAAAGTATTAAAAGATTATATTTTCCTGGAATCATCAGACGTTTTCGCCTTGTGCCATAATAAACCCTCACTAATAATTATGCTATCCCTTTTCTATCAATCGATAACTATGTATTGTCCACTATTGGCATTCTACTTCCATAGAAGCTACAGCGTTATACGCTGCGCTATCCAAACACACATCAGATCTCTTCGTTTCAATGACGTCATAAACATGCGAATATGTTAATGTTGTAAATTTATTGATGTGATAGAAATTGTGAAATAAATATACAATATTAATTATGTAGAACCGACGGTCCCTTTTTCAAACTCGTAGGAAACAATTACAATTACAAGCTAGAAGAAAATGCGAATCAATAACACTAGCCAGAAACAGAGCCTTATCAATCAGATATAGAAAATAGCTCATTTCTAACAGATCTCTACAGACCGTATTCCGTTTACTAATAGTATTGAGCACTAATAAAGTAAGTAGCAAATTGTATGACATTTTGCTGAAAAAAAAAACAGATTTGGCAACTTTGGTAGAGCAAATTATTATATGAACGCATCAGAAACCGCATACAACATGACCATGAATCTAATCGGCAAACAGCAACTACATGTACAGAAGGCCGCGCACGCAAACGCACCGCGTACGTGTTTCGAAATGCGGACCTTGACTGCCATTGTGGCATACAAAATAGGTTCAGAAAGGCCATATATATAGCAACATTTTACAAAATGCAAAAAAAAAATCGTGCTTTTCAAAATCAGTTATTGTCAAGCGTAATCACTACCTTCGAGTAGCCCACATAAACAATTTTTCTGATATTACTCGTTTTTTGATATCAGTACTGTACATAATTGCTTTACCCAAAGATGAAATACCGTGGATACTACAAATATCACACTACTCACGTTTTAATCCATACAGTACCTCTATTTTTGCAGTCTGTGCTCTGTACTGTATGAGCAAAAGTTGTTGCAGTTCTCATCCAATCTTAGGCGCGACGAAAACCTACACGCTAACCCTACGGCTTACAAAGCTATTCATAAAATATCACAATCTCCTCACTGACGAAGGCTACCGTAATAAAGTTATTCGCTGCACATCCCTCCCTCGACGCTGCGGCAAGGAACGAGAAGTATAGCCGCGGTCATGCATGGAAATTGTGGAAGTTAAGAAGTTTACAAGTTAAATTAGCTTGGCCTAACCTCAAGAATAGGTCTACAGGGTTGCTAAATATAAAAGTCGCGACGCGACCGCCAGTGGACTATACCTGTGGGCCTCTATCTTCCACTAGCACCAGTGAAAAAAGTGATTCTTCCAACAGAACTCTAAAAAGACGCTTTACCCCCGATTCTTCAAGAAAAAATAAAGGTCCATGTCACTGCTATCCCATACGTTCTACAATTTTATTAGCGAGCAGAAATTTTACAGACACAGGTTAAGTTGGGTCACGAGACGATCAAGCCTTTCGCACAGGGCCAAATAATTGCTTGTTCCTGTGACAGAAAAACAACCAAGAACTTAAGTAAACTCAAGTCAATGAGAAAATCTAATTCTGGCTACTGGATAAGTGTTGAGTGTGGGAGAGGGCTTGGTCTACCTAAAAAAATTTAACATCATTCTTTATGCGCCTTGCGCACATTTAGTAACTAACGGCAAATAGTAATGGGACAATATTACTACAGCATACACGTCACAGTCTCACCTTACAGGCACAGTTCGCGATTAAATAGTCCCAAAAATTTCGCATTGTAAAAAAACATTTGCTAAAGAACGCCACGTGGGGATCATGGGTCAAAAGGAGGCCTAAAATTCAAGAAGTGGCTCTGACACAAGGAAGGACGTGTTTAGCGCCCTCGCAGGGAGAACGTCCGTTGCGCGTGTCCGTCGAAAGTAGGTCACCCCGCCCACTTCGCGCGCTGCGCATCACACTGAGGTCTCGAGATGACATTACAGTACCACCAAGTGTCATTGGAGCGAATGATTTGCATTTGTCTGTGTTATCTTCTTCTTGAACTGCCTGCCGTGGACCAAACGCAAAGCGTATGCCCCAGTGACAATTGCGACGTCTGTCAAATATCGCGGGCCGACTCGCCGCGTGCGACGGCTGCGGCGTGACCTAATTTCGACGGACACGCGCAACGAAGCGCACCCCCCTCGCAGAGGCTGGTAACATTCAAAACGGAGCGCGTTTGTTGAAAACGCAGCCAATTGGTTCACATTCATAGCAAACAAATGTTGCTTTGCAGCGACTGGAATCTCTTCCAAGCATCCAAGCATCTGCGTCGCCATAACCTCGTCCAACCATAGAAACGAATAGTTCAAAAAACCTTATATTTCAGGATTTGTCTGCTTTTTTCACATTCTCCGCCATCGATTGACTGTCTGGATCAAAATTCCCACATAGCCCAAGAAAGAATAAGGAAGTTATTTGCAGACTATGCCTCTGGATGAACAAAAAAACCCCAATTGGAACTGTACCCGACAACCCTCCAACTCAACACTACTACAATACTGACAACCTAAATGTAAAAGTGCACACCCAATCGCTCGTAAGTATGAGTTACATTGTGCCAATCCCCTTCATTTTAGGCGCTTTCTGCTAGAAACTGCTACAATTTTCTTTCCCAAATTTTTATAACCCAAAAACAAATCCTCAGAGTGGACTTTGTCCTCACGAATGTTTGTTAAAAGGCCCAAGTGGGCAACCCATGAGTGTTACTATTGAATAAGAAGTAATTCTGGAAAGAAAAAAAAAATGCTACGTCGCAATACGATTCGAGCAATAAAATACCGATTCAAATAATAGCTTTGATGACGTCCATTATGACTAGACATTCCATACACTGTCGCCGTCGGCAGTTTCCCGTTTTTCACCGTTGAATAAATTATGATATCCAGTTGAGACTGATGACCGATTAGCGTACGGTGACGAGATCTCAGACAATAATGCTGCCGAGTCCAATATCGTCTGCTCGTATGGACCAGATGATGTCCTGGTAATAATATAGGTTACTCTAACTCTATCATATATTGTAGAATTGTAAGCAGGTGGGTCACTTCTCATCTGAATATTAACTATGACAGGACTGAGGCTGAATAAGCCCCCCCCCCCCCCACTTCCCCACTCTGGTATAACCCAATCAGGACGCCAGGCACGCCGCGCGGCGAGACAACTAGCTAAAAATCATCGCGCGCTGCGAACCGGTCGATACTCCTTCAGCACACCCCACTTGTCATCTTCTATATTTACGCAGCGCTTGGATCAATAAGTACACACAACATAATGACCTAATAGGACACACCCAAATTTCCGAAAGATACCAGCGCAGCATGTTTTGATCCAACTACAATCACCATCACCACACCCGTTTACCCCAAAAAATTGATTGCAGCTGTACATGGTCAGTTTGTTTTAAATGGCAAAAAACAAAAGTAAAAGTAAAAATAAAGTGCAAAACCGAAAACATAGAAAAGCCAAGGATGGTTAATATTTACCATCCTGATCTGATGTGCGACCCAGACTGCAAAAGTGAACCAGAAGACGAGCGAGAGTGATCGACTCCCATACCGATCAACCTAAGTATGAACAACAATCATTCAAGGGATATGATAAACTACAATATCCAAAAGGATGCCAGTACATAAGGAGTTTTGAGTGGTAGGAAAGAATTGAAGGGAATGGGTAAAATCAAGCATCACTTACCCTCCAGCAGCACACATTCGGCCTTTTCGTTTTCGTTCTTGAATTTTCTGTCGTATCTCCTCCATTTTGTGCATACCGAGGGCAGCAGCTTCTTCATCTCGTTCTTTCTTCGTATTTTCCAGTATTTCACCGAAATTCACTCTCTCATCATTCAACAGCGTGATACGACGGTCCTTGAAAGAAATGTAGTTAGGCATCGGATGAGAATCGTCGTTTAGGAATTAGCACACTGTTTTGCAAGCTCAGCTCCTCGAAACGG